ATCCGAAGTGGTGTGATATAACTGTATTTCTCATTCACTGTAGTTAATTGACATGTGCAAGGAAACGGCCATGTTGTTTTTACTCAGCGTATGCAAACGCATCACCAAACGTGTACTCGAAAAGTTTGGGGACATGGAGTTTTGCAATACATTTTCCCTGTAACTCTACCATACAACACGATAGAGTGTGCTTGTTTATCAAACGCAGAATAATAAGACTGGGCATGGACGAATGAAGGGGTTGATGAGTCAGGAATTTGCGAAAATTGTCGGAGTCGTTAATGTTCTAAGTGAATGTTCTTCTTGAAAAAATAAACTACAACAACACATATGAATTCAAATTTGTTCATTTTTCTACTAGGTAAAGACCATCTAACAAAGTTATATGTTGCACTGACAAATAGCAGAACATGAATGGCTAACAGCAACAGTGCAATAAAATTGAACGCACTTGACGTAGACAGTTTTGCAAAATACTTCAATAATAAAGGCTGGAGTGAATTGCCTTCCTAAGAGATTTAGATCATCCCAAGACCTGATAGTAAAAAAATTGACTTTATCGTTTCCTTTAGACTTTGGCAGTACAAGCTTCATGACTACACCTCTAAGAATTGAAATTTGAAAGAGAGAGATGAGTTGAGTTTATAACTTGCTAAAAGAAATTTGTGAGCCTCAATCAAATGAAATTGTCGCCTTCTATGTTCCAAAGATACTATTCTGAGTTCATGATTTCTAGTCTTTCCTTTGGGGATATGACTGTGATGGAAATTAGAAAACCCTTAATCTTATTGACAATTTCCTCGCAAAATTACTCTGTACTTTTCCTATCATTTGAGGAGTATCCTCTTTGTAGATTTGAATACGGTAATTTATATTTGATTAAAGGAGTGACATAAGCCTTAGAGGCTTTTGCTATAATCGCAGAATGCAAGTAGGTAGGGCTCTAAATAATTTATGATGCTCACGTCTTTAGCAATGACTTTTTTGCCATGTTTATCGAAACATAACGGCTTATTCGTAGGGTTACTTGCTCGCCTCCAACAAGATTCCTTCAATATTGCAAAGGTAGCCCAAGTGAATGAGTTCTATGTTCAATACTTTTATTTCTCTTGTGAAGGTTAGTCCTGGATATATTAGAATGCTATCCTTCTTTAAGATATAACTATGTGCCAGGCGGTTATGAACACTGTTGACAAATCTTAATGAGGAGTGATCACTGGATCCCGGAGGAGGATCTTTTTTAACGTCAATCGCTAATCTTTGACATTAGCAAAT